GTTCCATGTAGTTACTGGGTAAGTACAATAAAAATGCATACACACAATCTTATATCACTGACTCGGAAACCTTTATTTATTATACAAGCACCACTTACCCTGTAACCACATGAAACCGGATTTATTTCCCAGTATATTTAAAAAAATTGCAATAGTCTTAGCTTTTCTTGCCTTGAAACATGTTAGCCCAAACATCTGCACTTTTGCTATCAAAAAAAATATATATATATATATTTTTTTATAAATGCATAGATATGTACCCTGTCATTTTTAAAAAGATACAGTATGTATTGCCTTGGTTATTACAAAAAGGTACGCAGTGTATGTTCTCGCTAAATTGTTCCCAAATGTAAGATTGTTGTATCATAATAGTAGAATAAGTACCCCTTAGTTCTATAATACTTACAGTATAAATATTTTTTTATTTCTCCTGGTTGTTACCCCTTTATTCCCCAAACTTTACATATTGTTCCCTTATACTTACATGTAAGTACTTTATAGGTACACAATAATTACAGAAAGTTACACTGTAAATTCCTCTTAATTGCACAGTACTTTCCGGGCTGTAATCTAAAGCGTTACCACAATAGCCACATCAACCGACCCCCTAAGAGAAAACCGGATGGCTCTTTACAGTATGTGATATACAAACTTCTATAACATTTTTCTTTTCATACCTAGTTCTAGATAACATACATATCGTCGCTGTCCGATGAAAACCACGTATGTCCATTTTGCCGATTTTGAGATTTTTCGACGGATAGAATGTCCAGGTTCATTTCCGTATACAGCATGCTTCACATTATCTAAATGACCAATAAAAAAAAAGTTGTGAAATCATGTCATCTGATTTTCACGTATATCCATTTGGTGTCAAAGCTGTCAATCACGCCGCGTATCTCCCACCCTGTGGATGCATCTCGCCGGTCTCGTGAAGATTCGAAGCACTGCTACTTGGGCGCAGAGATATCACGCAACACCTGAAATAAAGCTTGCCACAAATAACCGGCGAAAGTAATGATTATGCATGAAACATTTGAATTGTTGATAAAGTTGACGATGCAGACTCGCCATCTTCGCAGTAGTGAACGCGCCTATAGAGCGAAATGCACACTTCATATGAAGTGCTTCTTTTTTATTAATCCAGGCAAATTTATTGATGAAACATTGATTAAAATGAATATACAATTTATACAAAACGAAATAACATTTAAAGAAAGGCTTTCTACAAAACAAAACTTAGTAGATCAAAATCTGACCCATTCCAAATGTTTTCCGATATAGGCCTATTGGTCATCTTATGATCCCATCTTACTCATCTCATGCGGTTCCGTTTTCATATAATCAACATGGATGAAATAAAAAATAAAAACATTATAATATTTAAACATAAATATGAAACGTATGTTTAAGTTTTTTAACTTATAAGCGTCACACCGCTCCGCTTTGCTCACATGCTAATAATCAAATAATACCCAGCGATCTTCGAATATTATTTTTGCTTGAAAATTTCGTTTTGTATAAATTGTATCTTCATTTTAATCAATGTTTTTATCAACAAATTTGCAAGCTTTATTTCAGGTGTTGCTTGATAGCCTATATCTCTGCGCCCAAGTAGTGCTTCGCCTGTGCTTCCCCCTATCAGTCTAGCATTGCCATGTCAGTGTATTCATTCATTGTCCCTTCATAGTTTGCAAGAGACATATAATAAACTGAGCGTATTAATAATCTGAGACGTAGGCTATTTAATAAACTGAGCGTAGCCTATTCATCTGTCAATATGAAACGCGACTGGGTCATTCTAATTAATGATCGGAAAAATGCGTATCGACCACCGTTACTGTAAAATATGCACGTATGTCCATTTAAACTCGATTTTGGTCAAATGTGGATTATATCATTACACTGGCAAGAATATGGTTACATTTAAAGTTGTCGAACCAAGTATGACAATGCTACGTTCAACTGCTTTTGAAATTACGTGTTTTTTTCACTTCCTGAAAAGTAACTGTTTTGGGCATACGTGAGTTTCATCGGGCAGCGACGATATCCTATATCATCAACAACAACACTTTGTATTTTTGTAAGCGTCTATCATTCTTTTGTTTGCAGGTACGGCAAAGTTTTCAACAAAAAATCACGGAAGTGGAGCCTCTACGTCATCAAGGAGGACAAGGACTATGCATACATCAGGGACCTTCAAAGCGCCATCATTGAAAAGAAGCTGTCAAGCAGCGCTGTGCCAAGGAAGTCTAAGAAGAGACCAGATTCTGTGTCTTGTCTGGGATTCCTGCTCCTTCTACCGGAGAACTACTTGACACTCTAGTCAGCAGAGGGCTTGGTAAGTTATATTTGAATATGTTACTACTGCACTCTATCAAAAACTGTAACTTAAAAAATATATATATTTTATGTTTTATTTCATAGGTCAGCCCCTTCCAAAGTAGGCTGTGATGACGGCAACATCCTGCAATGCAATCCCTTCACGCTGCACTATTTAGCACAATGCCATTATTTTATTACAATAAGGCCATCCTTAAAGGGGTCATATAATGCCATTTTTGTACAAGCTAATATGGGTCTAAATTAAAAGTTTGTAATATACTTTAATTAAAAATTCTCATTAGTATTGTAAGAAAACACTTATTTTACCTGGTCAAAAACAGCTCTGTTTTCAGCACACCGTTTCAGTGCATATGACTTTAAATGATAATGAGCTTTGCTCACTCCACCCCTCTGTTCTGCGCATACACCGTTTGTAACACAATAACACAATAACCACGCGTTGTTCATTATAAACGTGGGATTATGAATTATATTGAGAACGTTGTACATAGAAAACATGCTGTAATGTACCCTGAGTGTAAACCGACGCATTCATCGTGAAGCGTGCAGCTGGCGATTTGCAAAGATTATATAAATATTAATATAAAGATTATTTAAAACGTTACACTCACTTTAGTTCTTCTGAAGGTTCAGCAGGAAGACGAATAGGTTCCGATCCTTTATTCAGGTGCAGCTTCTCAGCAAAACCAGCTTTACACTGATCCTCGTTTATAAAGCAGTCCACTGAGAAATGATTCGGCAAACATGAGAGCATCGACGTTGCTCGTGGGGAATATTCCCTTCGAAAACAAACTCAGCCACTGCGTCTTCAGCGGTTCGGATTTAGGAACATTAAAATGACTGCTGTGTTCGTTATTGCACCCAAGAACAGAACACCACAATCGCTTAGACGCCATTCTGCTCATAGACAGTGTTCCAGCATATCAACAATGACCGCGCCGATCCGTGCGGACTATGATTGACAGGACGAGCGAGGGCGGGTCTGTGTTGAATCACTGCTGTCAATCAACAATCGCGGGAGGGGCGTCCGTTTTATTGACGTCACAAAAACGAACGGCTCAATTTGAGGCAGGGGAAAACATATAAGGAGATTAAAACAAAAACACTGGATGGATTTTTATCATTATATGATGGTTGTGTACAGGCACTGCCAACACACATTTCAGTACAATCAACTTGTAAAAGTGCATGTACCATTATATGACCCCTTTAAAAATATTCTTGTTTGCCGTAACCCGACCGACCCTGTCAATTTAGGACCGACCCAATTATTATTTTTTTTCCCCTTTTAGTCCGACCGACTTGCCGGTTGTAAACTTGCGTTAAGACCGACCGATTATTTTTTTTTTACTCTTCAAAACAACTAATACAAAAGCAATAATATAATATTAATCATATTTTAGTAAGTATTGTGAATATAAAAAGCCTACCTAGGCTACGTTCTTTCTTTTAGATATAAACCCGCGGCATCATCTATGATTATGTTTACACCATGGTTTACGCATGTCACATATGGCCTATACGTTCACTTCGTTTCATTCACTGTCAATGGTTCGCGCTTGGTAATGATGGCTGCGGGTGTTGTTTTTCCAGAATTTTGTAGTCCTGTTTGTCATTGTGCACGAAACTTCACGCCAATAAATCATCAGAAATATTGCTGACTTCTGCGCCTCACACGCTCTCTTTACGTTCGTCCTAATGCCTGTTTGTTGTCCGTGGATTTGCCTATATGTGGCATTGAAAATGGAAACGTCTTTAGACATGAAAACTTAATTTTACAATCGATTTAAAAGAACACTTTTGTCTAAAAAAACAAACAGGATTTTTTTCACAAAAGTGACAACCGAAAGCAACGTAACTGGTCTCTGATTTGTAGGTTGCATTGACACCTAGCGGTGGATGCAAGTAAAACAGTATAACCTAGTAAACTAGTAACCAGTAACACAATTTAAATTATGTTTTATGGATGTAAACATCCCAAATGTAACTCATTAACATGTTTTCTCATAGGTATTACATTGCATGTTAATCTAATTAACTGTTATTTTGTGAATTCTAAAGTCATTTTAATTTATTTGTTTACCTCTTTTGTAGATCTGAAAATCCACTTTTATTGAACTCTAGTGGCTTCTTATTTTCTTGATTTTGCCACAAAAAATCAAATAAATGCAGCTGGAATTAATGTAATAAAAATGTTTTTGACAAAGATTTCAATTTGTTTGTGGTCTATATAACCTGCATCAGAATGAGGTTTGCAAAGGTGCGCCAGAAGGCACGGTTTGAAGACACAGTCAGTGACGTCACGATATGCAAATTTGTTTAAATTCATACCATGACCAAAATTGTACTTTTTTTTTTTTTTACATTGAATCTTGAAAAAAAAAAAAAATAGGCCTACCTACCGACCCCTTTTTTTTTTTTTTTTGCTGTTACTGTAAACCAAAATATTTTTAAGGATGGCCTAAAGTCATGTAAAATAACTGTCAAGATTGTGATTTTCCCATGTTCTAAAAAGAAGAGAACTCAATACATAAGTTTCATTCTTTATTGAAAATGTAAATATGACAATAAATAACATCAAGTAACTTGCATTAAAAAAAATTAAAAATTAAAACTCTGTCCTATTGAAATTTAACACAGGACAGTTAGCTGTGTCAAACCCTGCTTGGGATGAATCCAACATAATGTCCATTTGGATCTGGAAATCTGTCCCTGATGGCCCAAACACAGCAGCTGGGTACCACCACACGCCGTCCACTCCCCAGTGACCCATACTGCCACACAACCCAGTGCCTGTAGGCTGCATGGCGGAATTGCCTATTGCTCTCCCCTGGGGACTGTGCATTTTCTACTGCCCTGATGTCATTCCACAGCCTCCGAGCCATCCGCAGATGACCCTCCATGAGGATGAAGATTTCCATGTGGGGCATGGAGGAAATGCACTCTTCAGGTCGGAAACGACAACATTTCCTTTCCAGGTCTGTGGGCATTTCCCGACACCTTGCACACACACACCAGGAGGGAGCAGCAGCTGTGGATGGTGGGACTGGTGGAGCCCCTTCTGATGTCCGAAGCCTCAAATCAAACACCAGGGAGGGATCATGGTGTAGAATATCCCTGAGCATCTGGTGTGATTGTTGGATGCTCAACCTCCCAATCAATGTCTAGAATGAGAGATTTTCAAGGTTGAAACTTAAAATTATATTGTTTTGAATCATGAAAAGATTTGTTTTATGAATTATGTTACCATATTTGACAGAAACAATATACTACTACTACTACTGTAATTTAGCAGATCCTTTTATCCAAGGCAACTTAGAACAATACAAGCAAGAAATCACATAGGAAGATGTAGCATGGATAATTGCTGCTAAATGACAGTAGTAGTAGTAGTAGTATAAACATACGCAAACAAATATCAAAGCATTTACATGGTGTGGGTTTTTGGAAATTTTAAAGACTCATAAAATGCACTGGTACAGTACAAATGTTTGTGTGTGTGTGTTTGTGATGTTGCACATATTGTACCGTACATCTTCAAAATCAATGCGTTGCGCCTGGAGATCCTGCATCCGCTGAACATCCTCTGGAGACAGATTTAGGGTCAAACCGCGACCAGATCCTCGGCCTCGGGCACCTCGCCCCCGTCCTTTAGCAGACCGTGACGCGCCCTGCCCCCTTCGTCTAGGTGGGAGCGTGGAAGGACCCACGGACGGAGAGTCAGGTGTGCTATCATGGGAGGTCTAAAAAAGTAACAACAACGTCTTTTATATAATAAGTAATCCCGATACACACGTTCAAAACACCAAATTATTGCTGTGAAAACCTATTTGAGTTTCTCCGTTTTTAAACCAGTGGCGTTAGCCTAGTTATCAACAGCTTCCTCAAATACCTCCGGTAGACTACAAAGACTAGCTATAAAGTGTTAAAAACCTAAGCATGGCTACTGATGACATTGTAATATACATTAGGTTTAACATGCATTTAATAACTTTAAATGTTGCTTTACCTGCGAATCCAACATCGCACATCGTACATCTCTTTTTCGATGTTTACTACCGGTGATCACAGCTTGACTGAGTGACGTTGTCGTTTCCCGGTGGGAGGGATCAGGTAGCACAGAGGGGAGGGGTGTGTGTGTGGAGGGGCGGGATGAGTTTTTTTAAAACTTCCCAACCATCTCAGGCTTTCTCAACCGATTTTGAACATCATAGACTATAGCTTTAAGTTTTGAAAGAGTTAAAACGGCTCGATGTTGGTTGTAAATTTGGTGCTAGTTTTACTGTACAGTAGCCATAGGACAGAGTGCCTATTTTCAATGCCTTTATTCAGGCCCCTTTACGTTTCACATTTTTAATTGTGTTGTGGATTTAATTTTAAATTGATTAATTTATTTTCTGATGGCACATTAGACAAAACACATCATAAAAAAGTATATGTTGTAATATCTGGTGGCAAGCACTGAACCCATACTGTAATGATTAAATTTGGCCGTAGATTCAATTTGTATCAAGGTCGTTTTTATTTCTCTTGGATTTTTTTAATGACTTAAAGATTCAATTCTTAGAGCATTTCAAAACAAGACAAAAAAACTCCATTCCACTGATAACGTTAATAATTTTAGACAATTTAAGAATTGTGGCTCTGATCTACTAACCTTCCCAAATGTGTTATTACTGGTTAACTACAGGATTCTTAACTTTACCTCAAACATAATACATACTTTTAACAGTAAGCTTACCATGTATACGTTTAATTGGTTTGGTAATTATTTTTTTTTATTTTTTTTGTGTATCTACTTGTTGTGTGCTCTGTTGGGTTTAGGGTGGGTGTTTGTAAAAAGCACTCTGTGACAACTTTGTTTTAAAGGGCTTTATAATATAAATTAGATTGACTTTGATAAGAGCAGCAAAATCACATTCAACGTACGGCTCTCATGGGTCATATCAGTAAATGTAGCAACTGAATTGTGTAAGAATGAGTTAAATGCAGTATATGATTGTGGGAGTCTTGGAGGACTGAAATGACTTGCAGTTGAAGATTGCATGTTGTTCAAGTTCATTTTTGAAGTTAAGCTGAACTAACTTATTAAACCACCCTATTTTTAACAAACCAATATAACTTCCGGAAATACCATTATGAATTGGCCAGCTGGCCATATTATGACCTTTCTTTGTCTGTAGATTCCAAAATTTCGTCATTTCAAATGTAGGTGAAATGACATAATGTAGGCTCATAATGTAAGAGACGCTGCCGTGACCACAACATTACCCAACATCAAATGGCAAATGTAATGTAAGCGGAACGAAACTGAGCTACTCGTTATTGTGTGGTTGACGGACCGTTTATCAGTTTGGACCAATGCAGCGCAAGCCGATCTTGATCAAGCAGCACTGTTACTACACAGCGAAATCCAGTAAAGAAAGCATTTGAATTCGCCACTGAAGTAATAACATCGCTGCAAGATCTAGTGAGAAACATTCACATTTCTCTGTTATTAACGGACCAAACAGCACTGACGTGGAAACCAGAAAGAAACATTGTGCCATGAATGAACTATTCAGTGTCCATTCTATCAGCTTGAACATTCACCATGGATTTACTGTAGTAACACTACTAACTGTAACCATGGAAGTTTGACAGAATTAGTAGGCTATAATGCTTTCAAGTACATTACGTCTGTTTTATTTTGACATTATGAATACAAATGCTGACCTCAAATGTTAATCTGAACCAAAATAAACCTTTGTTTATAATTACTACAATATGACATTTCATTTTGTCCAAGGAGCTATTTTGTTTTATATGCTCCTAAGAAAAGTCAAGTATAGCTCCATCATTGCTCAAACTAATAAAATATCATATTTTATGATGTTAATTTTAATAAAAATATAATAAAAAAAAATGAAATCAAGGAAATTTCTCTGGCATTTCTTTCTTTTTGCTGTATCGAAAACGTACCGAACCGTGACACAAGTGTATCGTATCGAACCGAACCGTGAATTTTGTGAACCGTTACACCCCTAGTTATGAGTACTCTGAAATTATATCAGTTGAGTTCACTAAAAGAAGATATATATTGCAGTCAAGAAATTAAGTGATTAATTAAGTGATGATTGAGCATTAGTAATGAACACCTGCAGTTAACAAGCATAATCACTGAAGGAAAGAGGAACAACAAGAACAGAAAAATAGAAACACAAGAACTACAACTGACTTCAGCCACAGCCTTAGATTAAATCAACTGAAGATAAAACATTAAATCTCTCAAGATCACAGCAGAGGAGGATTAAACCACTCCACAAACAGCATTACCAGCTTCACTTATTACTAACCAGATTGACTTTATTTCTGTCATACGTCTACAGAGGTTCTTATTGAGAATTAACAGAGGGTTAGATATTGATGATTTATTGAGTTTCATTTGAAGACACCATGATGGTGATCAGTGTTTGCTTTAGTTGGGCTCTTGACCTTGACTTTATAACACCAGTTTTTCTCTTGCTGCTGTAACTGTGTTTCTAAAACACTTTTGTTGTGGCACAAAAGAAAATATGATCAGGTGTCGATGGCTGGGTTTTGATGATGAAAATCATAATTTAGTGACTTGATTCACTGATCTTTTCCAGAGCCTAATCTCTAATTAAACAGGCGATCTTTTATAAGTTCTGTATTATTCGTTATAATAGAACTGTGATTCTACAGTGTAAGATCCATTGTTGTGACAATCAGACTTTAAAGACCTATATAGTAACATGCTGACACACACAGACATCAAGAATCAGCATATGAACTTCAACAATGGTGAAAATTAACACAATTTTCAGATAAACATCTGAACATCACAAAACAAGCAGCTCATCACAAAACAAGCAGATCAGCAAACATTAAAGCACATAGTAAGAATAAAAGAAAATATACAATTAACCTGTGTTATTTATTCATGCTGCAATGCATGCTGGGAGCCATGGATACATTAGGCTTGTTTGAGATGCGCCTTGCCTCGCCTGAATTGTAGGTGAGAGTAGACAGCTGCAGTGAGGGAGGAGTGAAAAAAGTGCAGGCAAGATGGACAGTTTTCTCTTCTCGCAGTGGATCTGACACCTGTGAGATCAAAGATTGATATCGCGGGATTCACGCTCGTGCACAGTGTTGCTAATAAACTGGACGTAAATTAAGTTCTGTAGCTTTTATATGATAATAAATTTATTAAAGTACTTTAATATATACCCAAAGTACTTATCTAATTCCATTCCAAATATGTGTTTATCAATAATTTTTTCTTTAATACAGACATGTTTTTATGTATATATTTTTAAATAAAAATGACATCACATCACCCATATCGCACTGTCAGAGAGTTTATTCTCACATAATGTATGTATACACATAAAACATGATATCAGAGTTTCAAAATCAAACATTTTAAAACGGAACAAAACATCAAGGTTGTTTAAACCAATGAGCATTAAGCTGTGTCGTCAGCAAGTCGTTTGCCATCGTGCTTTTGATCAGCACAGTCAGTGGAGAGCAACTGTGTGCGACTGCAGAATCCGACACGTGCGCCTTGCGGTCGCGAGAGTTTTATGACATCTGTCAGCATGACATCAGAGCAAGGCAGACCGCACTCGGACACATTTATAACTGGCATGCATCTCTCGGTGATCACCGGTGAACGGTTCTACGCAGATTTTGCCAATCTCAAACAAACCTGTTTTGTACTATGCTGTTACACAGCATGCATTTCAGCATGAATCGTTTTTTATGGCCACCATTGTTGTGATTCATATGCTGATTTTTGATGTCTGTGTGAGTCTGAGTAATGTCATAGATGAAAACTTTTTGTGCACAAACTGTTTGTAAAATCTTTCATATTAAATGATTGTCAGAAAACTGCTGGCTCTTATGCTGTAGAATCACAGTTTTGAATAAAACTAATAATAAATCGTCCGTTTAAACAGAGATTACACTCTGAATGAGATCAGTGAATCAGGTCACTAACTGATGATTGTCATCATCAATACTTAACCATCAACACCAGGTCATATATTTTCTTGGCTTTTGTCCCATAACAAATGTGTTCCCTTTCGAGGGAACTCTACACTGCGTCGAGAATCGACTCTTTGGGGACGCTCCCTTAGCGTGCGCCTCTGAAGTATGAATGAAACAATTCCAATCCTGATTGGTGTTGCGTCATGACGTAACATGTGACGGCATAACCGGATGCATAAAAGCGACGCCGGAACAAACACAAACTAGCTTTCGCTCTTCAGCAAGCGCTCTGTGTTGAAAACTGTCTGTCTTATTTGGTGTTGTTTGTCTCAGAAAGTTTGATTTATGGCCAGCGAACAATTTAAAGCTTGTGTGCACCCTTGCCCTCGTTTTATCACGGGTGGGGACACACATGCTTTATGTGTGAATTGTTTGGGAGCGCAGCATGCACGAGCAGCTCTCGAGGGAGCTGCTTGTGTAGACTGTGAAGCACTTCCCATTAGAGTGCTGCGCTCCCGGCTGGCGTGCTTTGATGAGCACGGTCAGGCTCGCGTTCCCCATGGTTCTGGTCCCGCGTCCGTTGAGGCGGCGCGGCGATTGAGATCGTGGGGTTCGCAGCGGGATCTTGTAGATGAGATTGAGACTGCTGAGGCACCTTCTCATTCTTCATCTGAGGATCTCGTAGCCCCTGAGAGTGGTGCAGGAGCCCGCATCGCGGCTTTTCCTGCCCATGATCAGGTCCCAATGCTTGAGCTCTCTGCTTCTGAGGAAGTGGATGTGCTCAGTATTGATGCGGATGACCGTGATCTAGGC